GGAGGATCTCAAGTCCACGCTTTTGTTCTCTCCTTCCCGCGTGTAAGTGTCCACGCCACCTCATCAACCCCTCTTCAGCATTCTGAATTATACTTTTGATAACCCCAGTCCTAATCTCCAAGCTCCAAATTCTTTGCATAATCACACAACACAACGCCCTCAAACATGACATTGTCACTGCCTCCTGTTCGGGGTGAGTGCGCACATTGTGTATGTGTACTCACCTAATTGTGGTTGCAGGGGTCGAGACTCAGCTCCTGGCCCCGCCTCTTCACTGAGTGCTACTAGGTCTTCTAACTGCTCCATGAGCTTTATCATACCTCATCTTAAAGCTATGTATGGTTCCTGCCTCCACTACCTCACTTGCTAGGCTTTTCCACTTCCTGACTATGACTGAAGAAATACTTCTCTGTCCACCTTGTCTATTCCACACAGTATTTTCTATGTTGCTATCATGTCTCCCCTAACCCTCCTGTTCTCCAGTGTCGTCAGGCCGATTTCCCTTAACCTTTCTTCGTAGGACATTCCCCTTAGCTCTGGAACTAACCTTGTTGTAAACCTGTGCACTTTTTCTAATTTCTTGACGTGCTTGATCAAGTATGGGTTCCAAACTGGTGTTGCATACTCCAGTATGGGCCTGACGTACACGGTGTACAGTGTCTTGAACGATTCCCTACTAAGGTATCGGAACACTATTCTCGGGTTTGCCAAGCGCCCATATGCTGCAGCAGTTATCTGGTTGATGTGTGCTTCCGGAGACATGCTTGGTGTTATGCTCACCCCAAGATCTTTCTCCTTGAGCGAGGTTTGCAGACTTTGGCCACCTAGCCTATACTCCGTCTGCGGTCTTCTTTGCCCTTCCCCGATCTTCATGACTTTGCATTGTGTGTGTGTGTGTGTGTATATATATATATATATATATATATATATATATATATATATATATATATATATATATATATAATATATATATATATATATATATTTATAACACGTCAGCCGTTTCCCACCGATGCAGGGTATACCTGGAGTATACCCAACACTCACCATCATTCATAGGTAGGTCTTTGCAGAGGTGCCCAGATATGACAGTTTAGATGTCACTTCCTTCAGACAATATCCCAGACCCTTCCTTTAAAGTGCACGCATTAACTTCCCATCTCCAAGACTCAAGTCCGGCTAACCGGTTTCCCTGAATCTCTTCACAAAATATTACCCTGCTCACACTCCAACAGCTCATCAGGTCCCAAAAACCATTCGTCTCCATTCACTATCTAACACGCTCATGCATGCTTGCTGTAAGTCCAAGCCCCTCGCCCACAAAACCCCCTCCAATCTTTCCTAGGACGACTCCTACCCCACCTTCCTTTCACTTCAGATTTACATATACACAAGTCATTCTACTTTGTTCCATTCTCTAAATGACCAGACCTCTTCAACCCTCTAAATAATACTTTTGGTAACTCCACACCTCCTAATTTCCACACTACGAATTATCTTAATATTTACATCACACATTGCCCTTAGGACGTCTCCACTGCATCCAGCCTCCTCCTTGATGCAGCATTTGCAACCCATGCTTCACACCCGTATACGAGTGTTGGTACAACTATACTCCCATACATTCTTTTCTTTGCCTCCATGGATAACGTTTTCTCTAGAGATACCTCAAAGCACCACTCATCTTTTTTCCTTCATTAATTCTGTAATTCTGTGGTTAACCTCGTCCTTCATAAACCCATCTGCTGACAAGTCAACTCCCAAATATCTGAACATATTCACTTCTTCCATACTCCCTCCAATGTGATATCCAATTTTTCTTTATCTAAATCGTGATACCCCTCATCATCTTACTCTTATATACGATCACTTTGAACTTACTGCCTTTACACACACTCCCAAACTCTTCCACTAACATTTGCAGCAGTATCGTCAGCCTTCGGCAGTCCGAAACTCGAGGAATACGACTCTCTCCTTAAGACCATGCTAGTGTATTGAATCTTTCCCTGGAAGGAGGACAGTGGTTGCAAGCCTCACTTCCGATCAGGCTTGGGGGGGCTGTCGTGGGGGTTCGAAACGTGGATTGGGTAAGAACACTCACGTAGGCTGTTAAGTACGTATAATTATAACGGAAAATATGGGAAGCACAAGCCCGCCCTGCCTCTCTGCTCTCTATCTTAAGACTGACTCACGAATGATGCCTAGGGGTGAGCGGCATTCAAAAACATGCTATAGTCAGCAGCAACAGCGAATAACAAATGATTCATACAGACGGTTGGTAGTGAGTCACTACTGACACTGGTTACTGGGAACTGATATTACTGAGAGGGCTGGGAGTACGCAGATCCTCCCAGAATGCTCTACCAGTTTTCCTGTCCTCTTCCATAGCATCAAACGAGTTAATAAGACAAATTCTTCTTGATAACCTCAGTGACTCAGCAGGAATACAGGGCCCTAACTATGTAGTGCCATTGCTGAGTGGGAGACTCTTGCTGCTCTAGCACCAAACCCTAGTGTAGCACTGGCTCACAAACAGTCAAGCTGTAATGGCCCGATCACTGAAAAGGTGCTTGCCAACATGCTCAGGGCTGTAACATCAGACAGGGAGACTGCCTGTCTCCAGGCTGTGAGCGCACCTCACTCCAGTTCCCATATCGGCAATGGGAACGCGCCTCGACCCTAAGACCCTCCGTAATTCACACGGAATATATGTGTATTTGCGGCGAAGCACAAGCCGACCAATATGGTCTAATTGGTGTTAACTGTTGCAAAACCAAGGGCTGGCATGCAAGACACAATGAAGTCAATGACATCATAAAGAGAACCCTTGCTACAGCTGGATGCCCAGCCGAGAGGGAGCCCCGATCACTAGCAGCCAACAATACTCACAACCCAGCAAACCGCCCCAACGGGATCACCATCTATCCTTGGAAGAATGGCAAGCTCTTAGCATGGGACTATACCTGTGTGTCCACACTGGCTGACACCTATATCCATCACAGTGTTGAGCGACAGGGAGGAGCTGCTGACCACAGGGAGGAGTACAAGATCAGCAAGTACAAGGACATAAGCCAACAGTATCAATTTGTCTCAGTGGGATCAGAGACCTTGGGATCATGGGGAAAAAATACCACACGTTTCCTTAAAGAATTGGGTTCCAGACTCGTTGACACCACCAGGGACCCAAGGGCAGCCACTTTCATGTTCCAGCGCCTCAGTGTGGCCATCCAGAGGGAAAATGCATGCTGCATACTTGGCTCGCGTTTGGCTTTGGAGGAGCTGGAGGAAATCCATAATCTTTAACATATTGTACCATTGTATTCATGTTTGCGTTTTCTGTAAATGTATTCTGTTTATTAATAAATGTTCACATGGAATATAAAATATAGGGGGTGGTAGGAGAAGAAAATATTCAAACAGCTCCGGGGAGAACCTTGAGTTTTCCCTGAGGTACGTTTATTGTCTTCTCTGAGGATGAGGGTCCCCAGTCCAGCTATAGAGGTGGTATGTATGTATGTATGTATAGTATATATATATATATATATATATATATATATATATATATATATATATATATATATATATATATATATATATATATATATATATATATATCTTATAACAGGGAGCGAGCGTAGTGAGTGGCGGTGGGTGTGGAACCTCTGCTTCCTCCCTCAGCAGTAACTCATCATCATGTACACTGTCTTAATTATAGCCTACGCTAACTTGCTCATTTTGTACTCTTTAATCCGTCGTTGAAGGGTGCATGCTACCCTTGTGTCTGTTATCCCTCTTCCCCTGTATCTTCGTGTTTCTTTTCCTCCCGGTTGGTCTCTCCCCTTCTCTCGTGTTCTCCCTAACCCCCTTTCTCCTCTTCCATTTCTTTTACCTCTCCGCTTTTCATTTTTCACATGTCTTGCTCACAGTTTGTGAGCAATTCACGTATCCGTGAGTCACTTTGGTAGTGGTGGTGGTGGTGGTGGTGGTTGGTGGTGGTGGTGGTGGTGGAGGACGACGACGACACCGATTTGTGTTTGTTCTTTTCTTTGCCTTTTGCCATTGTCTTTATTACGTCCTTTCTTTTAGTTTTCCCCTCCAGTTATTTTTCCATTGCATCATAATTCCTTACTGTTGTCCCATTTTCTGTTCTCCAATTCCATTAGCACCAGGCACCCTGTCTCAACATCACATGATCGCTGGCATCTGATGGTTATCCACAAGTAATTTCAACCATGCTATAATATTTTTCTGCAAAACCAGTTAGTCTTGCTGGGCCATCTCCTCCCCTTCTTGTTTCCTTCACATGTTTTCTCAGAAAGCTTTTCGTTAGTCTTTTCTACATGTTTTGCTCTCCACATGTTTGAGGGTCCTTGTAGTTGAAGTCTCCTAATACCATGACTGTGCCAGTCTCCAAGAAATTAATTATTGTCTTGGTATTCTGATCATCTCCTCCCTTTTTCCTCTATTTGGTGGTGATTATATCTCGGTGGCATTGTTAATTCTCTCTAGATATTAAAGTACCTGCTATAGAATCCCCCATATCACCCGTGTCCTAATTTCCTGGTTTCTTAAATCTCCAGTTGTTTCTGACCATCACTGCTACGCCGTCTCTTGTCCCTTTCTTTTCTCACTAATTGGTAACCCTCTAGGAATATCATATTTGTTATTCTTCCTGAAAATTTCGTCTCTGTAATACCCATAATATCAGGGTTTTCTTCTGCTATGCTTTCTTTCATAATTTACTGAGTCTACATAGAGTATGTTCCGAGGATCAATGCCCCTCGGTTTGGTCCCAGACCAGGCTTCCTGGTAAATGGCTTGATTAACCAGGCTGTTAGTGCTAGCCGCTGTCTGATGTTGTCATCTCTTACTGTTTTCTGGTCAGGCTGTTTCATTACTTCACTTCTCTGGATGTGTTTCAGGATTTGTTAATGATAAAATGATGATTAAAGTTGATTTTAATGATGTTTCTGGAATTGTTAATAATGTTGATATTGCAGGTTGTGAGGTTCGAGGGGCGGTGTGTGGGAGCCCGGGCCAGGGGGGGCCACTATGTACTACTGAGGCCCACCCAACACTTCACCAGGTCAGTACACTCAACACTGTCACCTTACAATAAATGACCCTTGCTATCAAGGACATAATTAAGCTGTACTGTTAAAAACTTGAATAGTTTTGTAAGAGAGGGTGATGAGCCTCTGAATTGGTCATCGTATGATCACAAGAGCTGCGTCACCTGTTGTTCTTATGTTGTCCTGTGTGCCGGGTGTTTGTATATTGTTCCACTCACGGTGCCTTTTGATTCTTTTCTGTATTGTTCTTGTTGCATTCTTATTGCAGCCATCCGTGAATAATATAAATTTTTTACACACAGAAAATATAGAAAGAACCACTGGACATGTACACACGTAGATGATTAAGACGCATGTGCAACAGTTGGGTAGAAGAATTAAGACACTTGCGCAACATATGGGAATCTTTATTGAAGAAACGTTTCGCTACACAGTGGCTTCATCAGTCTTATGCAGAGCAGGAAGGTATAAGGAGAGGAGGAGTTTGAGGTAATCAGTCCCTCAGCCTGGAGCCGATGTGTTCAGTCCATCAGTCTTGTAGAAAGTACAGCACAGGACCGTAGCAGTGGCTTGTGTACTGTAGTCAGGTGAGGTGAAGCAGGAGGAGGCGGGGTCATAGTGGTACCATCCACTAGGCTAAGTAGGTCTTCATCCTAAGATTGGACAAGTTTTGAATAATTCTTTGTATCAAGATCCCATTGATGCAGTGTCTGACAGATGTGATGAATGGTTTTGAAAACCGCCAAGTTGAATTGAGACACTCCTCTCCTTATACCTTCCTGCTTTGTATTGGACTGATGAAGCCAGTGTGTGGCGAAACGTTTCTTCAGTAAAGATTCCCACATGTTGCATAAGTGTGTCAGTTCTTCAACTTATCGGTTTTCGAAACAATTTATCACAACAGTTGGGCATCTTTATTGTTGAAACGTTTCGCCCACACAGTAAGCTTCTTCAGTCAAATACAGAGGCAGCAGGTGTAGTAGTGAAATGATGATATAATCAGTCCATCCACCTTGGAGAAATATTTGAGGTGGTCAGTCCCTCAGCCTGGAGAAGAGTTTGGCTCCATGGTCTGGAAGCTTAGCTCTTCTCCAGGCTGATGGACTGACTATACATCTTCATTTCTTTACTACACCTGCTGCATCTGTATTTGACTGAAGAAGCCTACTGTGTAGGGGAAAGTTTCAACAATAAAGGTACCTAACTGCTGCACATGTGTCTTAATCATCAACTTGTCGGTAATGTTTACCATTTTCAACATTCACTGAGATACTTCTGAGAGTGGGAGTCCCAGCACACACTACGTCACACCATGATACCTGAAGCACCTTTCCGGGGGGTCAGTGTCCCAGTGGCTCTTTCCCAGACCAGGCCTCCTGGAGGATCAACCAGGCTGTTAGTGTTGGCTACACGCAGTCCAACACAAGAACCACAGCCCGGCTGGCCAGACACTGATTTCAAGAACCTGTCCCGTTTCCTCTTGACCGCCAGAGATTGTTGATAATTCCTGAAGAAAACAGGATCCCAGTGACCTGGTCACTGGACCAAGACTTCAACAACCTCTCTTGTTATATAAATTTAATTACCAAGAGACGCCAAGCTGTCTTTAAAAGCAAACTAAGTTCCTTAAGTCAGTGAATAATGCATATGTGCAACACCTGGGTAGCTTTGTTCACCCACCAGCGACTTTCTCTCCTCTGTATCCGTCTCCATTCTCTCTCTTTCTCTCCATCTCCCTCTCTCTCTTTCTCTCCATCTCCCTCTCTCTCTTTCTCTCCATTTCCCCTCTCTCCCTCTCTCGCTCTCTCTCTCCCTCTCTCGCTCTCTCTCTCCCTCTCTCGCTCTCTCTCCCTCCCTCCCTCTCTCTCTCTCTCCTCTCCCCCCCCTCTCCTCCTCTCTCTCCTCTCTCTCTCTCTCTCTCTCTCTCTCTCTCTCTCTCTCTCTCTCCCTTCTCCCTCCTCCTCCCCTCTCTCTCTCTCTCTCTCTCTCTCTCTCTCTCTCTCTCTCTCTCTCTCTCTCTCTCTCTCCGCGTCTACTCTATATTTAAACTGACTTTTTTTTAGGTATAAATGGAAGGTATTGATTGTTAAAGATGCGCCAAAGTACTGCTACTCTTCTGCTGTCCTCTGAACCTGGTGGTCTGGATCCATGGTGGCAGAGTTGTATTGGACCATGGTGGCCTTCAGGCAGGGTTGTCTGGCACCATGGTGGCATGGTAGGCTGAAGGCATGGTTGTCTGGCACCATGGTGGCATGGTAGCCTGAAGGCATGGTTGTCTGGCACCATGGTGGCATGGTTGTCTGGCACCATAATGGCATGGTATCCTGAAGGCATGGTTGTCTGGCACCATGGTGGCATGGTAGCCTGAAGGCATGGTCGTCTGGCACCATGGTGGCATGGTAGCCTGAAGGCATGGTTGTCTGGCACCATGGTGGCATGGTAGCCTGAAGGCATGGTTGTCTGGCACCATGGTGGCATGGTAGCCTGAAGGCATGGTTGTCTGGCACCATGGTGGCATGGTTGTCTGGCACCATAATGGCATGGTAGCCTGAAGGCATGGTTGTCTGGCACCATGGTGGCATGGTAGCCTGAAGGCATGGTCGTCTGGCACCATGGTGGCATGGTAGCCTGAAGGCATGGTTGTCTGGCACCATGGTGGCATGGTAGCCTGAAGGCATGGTTGTCTGGTGGCATGGTAGCCTGAAGGCATGGTTGTCTGGCACCATGGTGGCATGGTAGCCTGAAGGCATGGTTGTCTGGCACCATGGTGGCATGGTAGCCTGAAGGCATGGTTGTCTGGCACCATGGTGGCATGGTAGCCTGAAGGCATGGTCGTCTGGCACCATGGTGGCATGGTAGCCTGAAGGCATGGTTGTCTGGCACCATGGTGGCATGGTTGTCTGGCACCATGGTGGCATGGTTGTCTGGCACCATGATGGCATGGTAGCCTGAAGGCATGGTCGTCTGGCACCATGGTGGCATGGTAGCCTGAAGGCATGGTTGTCTGGCACCATGGTGGCATGGTAGCCTGAAGGCATGGTTGTCTGGCACCATGGTGGCATGGTAGCCTGAATGCATGGTCGTCTGGCACCATGGTGGCATGGTAGCCTGAAGGCATGGTTGTCTGGCACCATGGTGGCATGGTAGCCTGAAGGCATGGTTGTCTGGCACCATGGTGGCATGGTAGCCTGAAGGCATGGTTGTCTGGCACCATGGTGGCATGGTAGCCTGAAGGCATGGTTGTCTGGCACCATGGTGGCATGGTAGCCTGAAGGCATGGTTGTCTGGCACCATGGTGGCATGGTAGCCTGAAGGCATGGTTGTCTGGCACCATGGTGGCATGGTAGCCTGAAGGCATGGTTGTCTGGCACCATGGTGGCATGGTAGCCTGAAGGCATGGTTGTCTGGCACCATGGTGGCATGGTAGCCTGAAGGCATGGTTATCTGGCACCATGGTGGCATGGTAGGCTGAAGGCATGGTTATCTGGCACCATGGTGGCATGGTTGTCTGGCACCATGGTGGCATGGTAGCCTGAAGGCATGGTTGTCTGGCACCATGATGGCATGGTAGCCTGAAGGCATGGTTGTCTGGCACCATGATGGCATGGTAGGCTGAAGGCATGGTTATCTGGCACCATGGTGGCATGGTTGTCTGGCACCATGGTGGCATGGTAGCCTGGCACCATGGTGGCATGGTAGCCTGGCACCATGGTGGCATGGTAGCCTGAAGGCATGGTTGTCTGGCACCATGGTGGCATGGTAGGCTGAAGGCATGGTTATCTGGCACCATGTGGTGTAGCTGAAGGCATGGTTGTCTGGCACCATGGTGGCATGGTAGCCTGAAGGCATGGTTGTCTGGCACCATGGTGGCATGGTAGCCTGAAGGCATGGTTGTCTGGCACCATGGTGGCGTGGTAGCCTGAAAGCCTGGTTGTCTGGCACCATGATGGCATGTTAGCCTGAAGGCATGGTTGTCTGGCACCATGGTGGCATGGTTGTCTGGCACCATGATGGCATGGTAGCGTGAAGGCATGGTTGTCTGGCACGATGGTGGCATGGTAGCCTGAAGGCAGGGTTGTCTGGCACCATGGTGGCATGGTAGCCTGAAGGCATGTTGTCGGGCACCATGGTGGCGTGTTAGCATGAAGGCATGGTTGTCTGGCACCATGGTGGCATGGTAGCCTGAAGGCATGGTTGTCTGGCACCATGATGGCTATGGTAGCTGAAGGCATGGTTTCGGCACCATGGTGGCATGGTAGCTGAAGGCATGGTTGTCTGGCACCATGGTGGCATGGTAGCCCTGAAGGCATTGTCTGGCACCATGGTCATGGTAGAGATTTGCGGCACCATGGTGGCATGTAGCTGAAGGCATGGTTGTCTGGCCATGGCGCATGGTTCTGGACATGATGGTAGCCTGAAGGCATGGTTGTCTGGCACATGCATGGTGAGCCTGAAGACATGGTTTTGGCACCATGGTGGCATGGTAGCCTGAAGGCATGGTTGTCTGGCACCGTGGATGGTAGCCTGAAGACATGTTGTCTGGCACCATGGCATGGTAGCCTGAGACATGGTTGTCTGGCACCATGGCATGGTAGCCTGAAGACATGTTGTCTGGCACCATGGCATGGTAGCCTGAAGCATGGTTGTCTGGCACCATGGCATGGTAGCCTGAAGACATGTTGTCTGGCACCATGACATGGTAGCCTGAAGACATGGTTGTCTGGCACCATGGCATGGTAGCCTGAAGCATGGTTGTCTGGCACCATGGATGGTAGCCTGAAGACATAGTTGTCTGGCACCATGGCATGGTAGCCTGAAGACATGGTTGTCTGGCACCATGGCATGGTAGCCTGAAGGCATGGTTGTCTTGGGCACCATGGCATGGTAGCCTGAAGACATGGTTGTCTGGCACCAGAGTGTGGCATGGTGGTAGCCTGAAGACATGGTTGTCTGGCACCATAGGCATGGCACCTGAGAGCTGGTAGTTGTCTGGCACCATGGCATGGTAGCCTGA